GGACTCACGCGCAGGCTCTAGGTCTTGAAAGCACAAGAGTCTTTATTATGATGCACCAGGTGATTATTTACAAAAGTGAGGGGAAAGCCGGGCTCCGGGGGTCCACACACGAACGGGAAAGACACGCACACTCTCCGTCCACTCCTCTTCACACTCGCACACTCTCCGTCCACTCCTCCTCACACTCCACTCACTCGGGTAACACAGGGGTAGGTCCAGGGAATCTGTACACAGAGACACGAAGGGGTAGTTAGGTAAATCGCTATGAAACACTTCTGAAGTCATTGAGCTGGGGTTACACTGACGAGGGTCGGCAACGGTCCAGCGACGAGAAACACAGGGCTGCCGTCTTATAAAGGAGCTGGATCACTCGTGATGAGCCACAGGTGCGTGGGCCAAGGGCAGGAGCCCGCAGGTGAGCTCCGCCCAGGCAGAGGGAGGAGGGAAAGAGGGGAAAGGAGAGAGCAGGAAAAAAAATAAAAAAAGGAATACAAAACATATCGTTAGCTTCATAGCATAAGTGCCTAAGTCATTGACTTAGTCAAATGACTTAGGCAATTATGCTATGAAGCTAACGATATGTAGCCGTACTGAGCCGACCGGGTAGGCACAGGGACCCTGACAATATTAGAGATTTGGGTTTTTTGCTTGCCGAATCATCCTGTTATATCAGTGTTTGCATCTTTATTTACTCTTTCTCAGATTGCTGGATTCCCAGAATAATAATGAAGAAAGGAAGCATTTTACCACAAACTTTCATTTTGACTGGTTGATCTGGACACTATGATGGGACCAGGATGCCCTCATGGAGGAATAAATATTCAGGATGTGCAGACAAACATAAAATATGAAATCATGTGCAAATAGAGCTTTAGTTTTTCTGGCTTCTTGTGTGGATGCTGAAGCCCTGAACCTCAAATTTACACTCTCAGGAAATAAAATATGTTACTGTGTACCTTTAGGGCTACAGCAGCTTGTCCCTTAGCCCTCTTTGAGTCTCTACCCACTAAAGGCTTTATCCATCTTAGCTCTACAACCAGCTCAGGAACTCTGTTACCTCTACGTGCATGAAAACCCATCGATGTCAGGGAGAAACAAGGCCCAAGAGGAAGATACATAACCAACCCCTAACTGTTCACCAACATGTGTGACGGATACAGAACAAAAACTTATCAGAACACCTTAATGATGCCTTGGTAAAGCACAGCTGTGCAGGGATTAGTACTGTCAGCTCACAGCAACAAAGTCCTGGCTGAGGATCCACTGACCAGCTGGGGCCTGTGTGTGGAGTTTGGCTCTTCTCCCCATGCTGGATGGCTTCTCTCTGGATACTCCTCCTAATGTTCAAAGGATTGCATGATAGTTTAACAGGTGATCCCTAATTAGCTCAAGGTTTAAATGTGAGTGTCATTGGTTTTCTTTCTCTGGGTATAACAGATTGATCGACCTGTCCAGGGTGCATCAGCTGGGCTCTAGGCTCCAGCACTGCACAGTGCTGAAGCAGCAGACGATGGGTGGATGGATTTCTGTACGGCTCTAGTGGATTGTGGGTTTTAGACACAGACATTGTCCAACTAATTTTGACTGTGTGGGAACATCGGCCCTTGAAACGTACATGCACGTACCTTGAGGTCCAATAATTAGGCACGCCTTGGGTTAAATGTATGTAGATTGGACCAGCAGGTGAAGAAAGAAAACTGTACTGTGCATCTGTTTTCTTTCTACTTGTTTGTCTTGTTTTTTTAATTTTTATGACATTTAAATTGATAAGGAAAAAAATCCAATGCACAAATTATTAATGAAGATAATTAATTTGTACTTTTCTCTGTTTTTAAGAATGACGTGTAAAAGGTTTTACTCTGGAAGATGTTTCTGCGTCTCTAACGGTGATATTAATATGAGCTCTCGTAAAGCGCATATCAAAGCGCGTTAGCTTCTATGTCCACTGGGTATCTCCTGAAAAACAAATGCTAAACAGATGCTGAGGGGAACTGTCGTGCGTGACTCCTGTTGTTGCTAAGCAACTACCGGTTGAAATTTGGCACTCTTTGGCTAAAAGTTGTAATATTTTGAACCTCAAGCACTAGCTGCGCTCAGCGCCAAAATCATGCTAATCTCTCAACTCTGACGGGACGGTGCAACAAGGTTCCCAGTTGGAGCTTCTGAGGAATGGATGCCAGTACCGTAAACACATCGCCTCAGAGTTGGATTATGATTTATAAACGTCTCTTACTACAGGGAACTAATCTTTTAAATGTATGCCGTATTTTAAACATCGTCTTGTGCACTCGGGTCCAAACTGCAGGTAGAACACAGATGGATCCATTATTTTTACCCCTGAAGGGAGCATCAGTAGTTTCACTCCCTCACGCCAGTTTTTAATATGCAAGTATCACAGTTGGTAACTTGTATGGGATAACTGTATCCACATTTTGACTTATTACTACATTTTCAGAACCAGGTCATGTTAATCCCTCTCATTGAAGGTGTATAGCTTTGATTGGCCGTGGTATCATTTGTGTGCTGGGAGACGGAGGTGTGCTGGGAAATCACCTGCTAATATTAGCTTTGTCTTCTGGTCCTATTTAGCCTAACTAGCTTGCATCTGAACAGTGCAAGTTGCTGGTGGCTGTCCTGATTTATTTTAGTCAAAGAATGCATGGAAATGGGTGTTTCTGCTGGTGTCCACCACAAGTCTGATGCATTTACTCAGCTGTGAGGCGTAGAGCCCTTCATCTCCAGCCTTCTGAAGTTGTTATAATCAACCAACCAACTCACTGTATTTAGGGATGGTCAAAAGGACAGTTCGTGATCATGCTTCAAGGCAACGATAAGTCAAATAACCAAGGTAAGCATCTTTGATTGGACAATATACCAAACCTTGAATCCAGAAGACCCCACTGGGAGTCGCACCTGTCAGCAAAAACCAGGAAACTGATAAACAATTTTCATGGGCTCAACAAAAGAAGATTGTAAAAATGTTCCTCGGTGTGAGTCTCAAATTCTGCTGGAAGAAGTTGTTGTAAACAGCATGAATCCATCCTGCTGATGCTTTTAGATTAGATACTAACTTACGACAGTAAAGATGCTAACAGTGGCATGTTTCCTTCCTCTGACAAACCGTGACACAGCTGTTCTGCAGGCAGGTGCACAGCCCTCCCCTCACGAGCAGCTGAAGCCGTCGCAGTTCAAATCTTCTATGTTATAAAGAACTGAGGCAGTTCTCAACATCTTTCAGGGTTAACGAACTCAGATCGTTCATAAATGTGTGTTTCAGCACATTTACAGTGAAGCTGCGTTCACACATGTGTGCGTAGATTCAAATAAACTTAGAACTAACAGGGACAACCAAAGCACTGGATGCGTCCCGAGGCTGCACAGTGCCCATGTCTGCTCAGGGCTTCAGTTCATCTAAAAACGTTCTCTGCCAGCTCACATCAGCAGAACAGCAGAGAAACCTTGCGGGCAGGTTGCCAGTTGATAGCAGAGCTGCTTCAGCTGTGTTCACCTAACTCTGGTGTATTTCAAGTTAAGGTTCTCTAAAACAGCTCCACCTCCACTACGACCGGAGTTATATAATGGAGCTCATCTGTACATAAACCCAAGACTGATGGAGAAAGGCAGAGAGATTTTAGCCGGGCTCACTGCCCTCCTGCTGTCAGCATATGTTTGCAACTTGCTCATGCATGTATAAGCACCTACATGTGTATGTGTGCATATAATATACTTGGAAACCCAAATGAAATCTTTGTTATAACATGTAACCATTGTATACGCGCGTGTGTGTGTGTGTGTGTGTGTGTGTGTGTGTGTGTGTGTGTGTGTGTGTGTGTGTGTGTGTGGTGTGTGTGTGTGTGTGTGTGCACGCGCCTCTGCACAGCCTAATTTCTGCCCATCTTGCTGTTCTGCCAACAGCTGAATAGACATTTAACCCTTCTCCCTGCTGCTGAAGCCCTGCAGGGCAAAATTAAAGTGCTAATAATAGCATGCTATGGGAGAAGCAGGTTCCAGTTGTCTTGTGTTAGACGCACATGAGCTTTTGTTTCGTCTTTGTTTTTCAGTTGCCGTATGATTTCTTCATACATGAATTTATTGATCCACTATATACAGTCTAATCTGTACAGTGGATCATAATAACATTATAACAAATAATTATTTTCTGTATCACTCATTTAATAAAGTTACATACTCTTAATGCCAGGCCCAAGCCTGTTGAAAAGATTTGGGCTAAATCAAACATAAACCATAAGAATAAGATTTCCATTCTGATCCGGTCGTGGCCCAGATTAACAACAGCTGCCTGCTGATGGCCACAGGGTGGAAACTGTGCATGTGATGCTAAAGACAAAGGACTGTGGGGTTAGGATGAGATGGAGGACGATGATCAGCTGTGGTGAAGCGGGCACATGTCTGAGGGCTGGATGTTTTCATGAAGCTGGGAATTAGCTAAAGAGACCAAAACTTTTAAATGTGCTTTTAATCCTGTAAAGTTGTACTTTCAAACTTGGGAGTCTCTGGGCATCAACTCATGTTTGGAGTGGATCACAAACTAGACCTGCTTTGCTGCCCCTTCCTCTAACTGCCCAGATCTTCCTGTGGTAGAAAGCATGTTAGTACTTGCATAAAGTTTTCAGCCTGATTTGCCAACCAAGCTTCTTCTGTGTGTGCTAAACATTTGTGAGGCAAGTACATGCAACGCAGTAAATACGCATGTTCATAAAAATCTTTTTTCCGTGTTTCTGTTCTTCATGGCCAGCACGTGCTGACACATGTCTCTGCAACACTAAACACAAATTGTCTGCTAAGGCTTTGAACTCGCTCACCTCAGCTTTATTCCACTGTGAGTTGTTTGAGTGCCTTTAATAAACAGCACAGAAACGGCCTTGCGGTGCCCTGCCAGAGAAGTACGGCTGAATCAGCGTATTGACGAGCTGAAGATGAATTCTAAGTGGTGAACGAACGGTGAATGAATCCTCCCTGTTTCTCTCTCCGTCCTTCAGAAACACAAGGTGGATCTGTTCTACAAGGTTCGCCACGTGATGATGGAGCTGATAGACCTGAGAAGGCAGCTGCTGTCCGGTCACCTGACACAAGACCAGAGCAGAGACGTCAAGAGACACATCACCGTCAGACTCGACTGGGGCAACGAGTGAGAAACCACACAAATGTTGCATTAAGACACATTTGCACATTTCCCACACATACAAGTAATACACATAGTTTAAAGGGCAGCTGTTCTTTGTCTGACCCAGACGAGAGGTGCTTCATCCATTTCTGATGAAGCACCTCTCCAAACACGAGTATTCATTTACGTTTTTACGCTGTATCATGTGCATTGGTTGCTCATAGTCACGTAATGCTGCTTCAACCACCAGCTGACCAAGTGGGGTCATTTATGACCTGAGCCTTATACACTGTACTGCCAAACGTATTCACTCGTCTGCATTCGCTCACATATGAACTTGAGTGACATCACGTTCCTAATCCACAGGGTTTCACGTGATGTCAGCCCACCCTTTGCAGCGATAGCAGCTCCAACTCTTCTGGGAAGGCTTTCCACAGGTTTAGGAGTGTTTATGGGAATTTTTGATCATTCTTCCAGAAGCACATTTGTGAGGTCAGACACGATGTTGGACGAGAACTCTCTGCTCTAATTCATCCCAAAGGTGTTGGGTTGGGTTCAGGTCAGGACTGTTCAGGCCAGTCAGGTTCTTCCACATCAAACTTGCTCATCCACGTCTTTATGGATGCAGCTGGTCACCATGGAAACCCATTCCATGAAGATCTCTGTGCACTGTCCTTGAGCCACATGAAGGTTGGAGGTCCACAGTGATTGAATCTGCAGAAAGTTGGTGACATCTGCCCGCGATGCGTCTCAGCATCCACTGGCCCCAACGTGGCTTACCACATCTTTCCCAATCACTTCCACTCTACTATAATCCCCCTAACAGCTGACTGTGGAATATTTCATAGTGAGGATATTTCATGACAGGACGTGCACAGCTGGCATCCTATCACGGTACCACGCTGGAATTCACTGAGCTCTTGAGAGCGAGCCGTTCTTCCACAAAGCAGAACTGAATGATTTCGATGGGTGAGTGAATACGTTTGGCAACATAGTGTGTTACGTGCACCGTTGTGACTTCTGGCGTGAGGAGAAAGCGCTTAAATGCAGACAGTGGAGGCCGAGTGAGGTGAACAAAAAACAAGCTTTTATTTTGACCGGGACAAACGCTACAAACAAAACAAAGGCAGAACGAGCAAAGCTAAAACAGCACATGCAGCACATGGTTAGTGGCTTTTTCTTTAGAAAGACCCTTTAGATGTTTGAAGTTTGAAGTCTGTTTGCTGAATAATAATTCACACATGCTGCACTTACATGCTGATGGCAGCTCAGCCTGCTCCCCTGACTCCTACACGGGGCAAACACAAGTGTGATTGGAGGCAGGTGGATGAAGCCGTGGTTGTTAAAGTCTCATGAGAGCACGATGAAAGGCTGATGGGAAACAGATGAAATGGAGAAAAAATGGCCGCTGCTTCAGGATTGAGTTATTAATACTGGGAGTGTTTCAGAGGTTATTTAAAGCTTCGTTCTGCTGTCAGAGGGGACGAGGCACACTGAGGTGATATAAAGGGGGATGGCGATAAGTGCTGCTTTTATTATAATTAATAGTAAAAGAATTATTCAGGGTACCGCGGGGTGTTTCAGGTCATGTGACTGCTTCCAGTCATTACTGATGCTGCTTTAATCGAGTTCACATTTAGATATAAGTAGGAACTACTTACCGACGATGTGATTTTAGCACATCAGTGTAAAGCAGAGTTATTCGTCCAGTCAGTGGCTTTGCTAAAGAGAGAAGCAGCTCAGTGAATCATTTTAGGCTGCAAAAGGGCCAAAAAGGAGCTAATGAGGTGCTACTTATCTTGTTGCTCTCTGCTAATTCAGTCTCCAGCTGGTAAAAAGAAGTGACGTGTCATGTAACAGAGCAGCAGACGTAATTTATAGCCCGAAAGCCAGTTCATGGTGAAAGGTTGCATTGCAGGAAAACAAGCTCGCTTTCATCATTTCAAATAATGGCTCCATTGTTCCTGATGCATCACGAGCATGGAAGTGTGTGCATGGAGAACACAACTTATCAATGAATCCATGAATGGCAAACATTTGTCAGGTCAAGTGTCTCCAGCATGAGGACATTTAGTGTGTCTGAGGAGCCTGAATGTGAGGTTTCAGGGTTACACGTTTGATGCGTGTACGCCGATAATACTGATGTGGTGCAAAGACGCACTTCCTTCTGCTGTTTTGGTTCATGCTACATCCTCGGTGAGAACAGCTGGAGGGCACAAACAAGCTTTTGCTGCCACACGTGAACTAGACTTGACCTCCATCTATGCTGCTTCGATGTGTTTTACTTTTCTCCTCAGTGCCAGTCTCCAAATGATCATTGCTCAGTACTACATTCCTCTCTGGGTCGTTGCAGGACTGATATTCTGAGTCATCCTGAACTTCACACAGTGTCAAACCTTTGCCTCAGGCTGTCTTTAGTCAGACGACCGTCACAGCAGCCAACTCTGAACCTCTGTGTGAGGTGAAGGACCCTCGTTTGGATCAGAGATATCTCATCATGCTCCTGCTGGTGCAGCCCAAAAATGTGCAGCGCCTGGCTTCAGAGCAGCGTCAGACATACTTGATTAGATATGTACAAAGATGAGTAATAAGCAGTTAATTATAGTGTCGTTAGAAACCTTTAACAACCCATTCAGCTTTACCCTCAAACCCCAGGCTGTAATTTTATTTTCTGTTTCCACTCAAGCCTTTACTTTCACTTGACATATACAAATACATAAACACCTGATTGCATTTTTGAAGCTGTGGTTGGCAGTGATGAAGAGTTTGGTTTTCAAACCAGATTTAACCCGATTTCAGCCTTGATGGATGCGCATGTTAACACATCAAAGATGGACGTTTAGTTTCTCATTCACAGTTTAAGAGGCCATCTTATTCATTCGGAAGAACATTGTGCACAGCGCCTTCGAGTGCGCGAGTCCACCGGCCTGTAACTGAAAGATGTGGTTGTTGAGATTGAACAGAAAATAATGCTGAGGAACAATATCCCCAGAGCCCCTGTGAAATTACTTTAATATACTCTGTGTGTGTGTGTGTAGGCGGTGCACGCTTGTGTGTGCAGAGGTGGCTGGAAAGGTTTGTGTACCTGTGTTGGAAATGCTTTTTGTGAAGGTTAAATGAAAGACGCTCTGCTGCTCTCCGTCTTTGTTTCTGTGTTTCAGACACCTCGGTCTGGACCTGGTGCCGAGAAAGGAGTTTGAGATGGTTGATGAAGACCAGATCAGCGTGTCAGACCTTTATAAGATGGTAAGTCAAGTCACACCTGCTCACACACTGGATTCATGACGGCTGTAGTGCACACAGTGATCCCACATCCTGGATACGTTGTGTAAAATAAGACAAAAATATCCTGCTGCTCATCTCATTTGTAGGTTGTAGCTTTTAATCAGGCATCCTCTAAAATCTGCATATTATTTGCAATTCTTTTAATTTTCGTTATCCGCAGATGATGAGAAGGATGTTAAATAACCAGCAGCAGGAGATTGAATTTGATGAGCAGGTTGTGCTGCAAACTGAGCAGTTTTCTCATTTTTCACATAATTAAATCATTTCAAGTATTAGCACATAAAAGTAACATGAAGTGAATTTTGTGCACATGAATATCAGTGACTGACTGTTTGCATTTGCAGGTCTCAGCTTGTCACCGTACTGATAAATTAATAAAGTCGTGTTACTGTAAAACTGTGAGAAAGCTTTTTGATTCAGAAACAAACGAGTGAACAGCTCTGACGTGGAATTATCGGAGATTAATGTTTTATTTGCTTTTCTCCCTGAGAGAGCACATTTTATTCCATTTTCTGGGTCTAACACAGACCTGCTGGCTGCACCTTGATGATTACAGGCTGGATTCATTTCACAGTTGGAGGGAAGCTTTAGTTTCCAATCAGAGAGCAGGCTGGACCCCGAGGTTTAAACAGCAACAAGCCTCAACAGTTGGCAAAGTAATCGTGTGGCGACTGGTGAAGATCAGCAGATATCTCACTGAACCGTTCATTTTAGACTAAAATCTTTTGTCTATACGAGGATGAATCAGGAAGTTGTAACGTGAGTAATAACTATGAGCCGTTTGTTGTCTCTGTGGCTGCAGTGAATCAGAGTTTTGATGCTCGAAACGCGTTTCGATTCCGCGTCATGCTGCTCGTCCTTTTCCCTTTTCATCTTTTCTCTGGCCTCGAGCGGCGCCTGTTACCAGAAACAGGTTTCTCGCTCACGTGACCTTCGTCTCATGCACACGACGTTTGAAACTTTGAACACCAGCAGGAAATCTGACGTCGCTCTGCTGGTGGCTTCATCCGGATACCTTAAAACTGCTAATCTGATGATCTGAACCACCGACTGTAAAATTACCGTCCCGCCTCTGTTAACTTGTTCACAAAAGCATAAATTTGAATAGTTTCTCCTGTTATTGGAGCTATTGTGTTGTATTTGAGTGCTACTTTAAATATCATAAATGAATGGAGTGAATGACAGTCGTAGCCTACTGACAGCATGAGAAATAAGAGCAGAGTCAAGGTCCTGAATAATCACAATTTCAAACCGTCATCATCTATGAGAAAACTCATAAATCACTATAAGTACAGTAAATATTTATAAATCAGAGTGAATATGTGTTGAATAATTAATACTGCACATGAAGATGTGAGATTTAAGCACATCAAAGTTAAACATTATAATCAATCTTCTGTTTTTTCAGAAAACATATTTTATAGCTTGTTTTGTATTTTTTTAAGTTAAGCTTTTAAATCCTTAGTGATAGTTTGTTCCCTGTGACTGAACAAAATGAGCACTTAGAACGTGTAACAGCAAAAGAAAAACCTCTTAGATATGAAAGAGTAAAGCTGTGATGGATCTGAACAGAAATGTCAAAGATATTTTCAGTTTCTTTCATCTGCTTTCCTTTCATCGTGACATTTGTCACATGTCAGAGAGCTTTGTGACATCATCGACTAATTTCACATTTTTGACCAATATTCAAATGTAAATATGTAAAAGGAACAATATCTTCCAGCAAGTTTTAATTCTGGACACTCGGGCAAAGAGAGGAGCTGAGCTGTCATCTGATCACCGGTGGTGAGTTGGATCGGGTGGCGTGGAAGGATGCTGGACAGACTCTGGTCCAGGAGATCTCCAACTGCTCCCTAAAGCAGATGTTTCACCTTCATTGCTGAGATGCTGCAAGGAGCTGGAGCCGGTTGGTGCCTGTTGTCATGGTGACAAACCAAATAGTGGACCCCGGAGGTGAAGGGAGCTTCTTCATCAAGCTGAAGGAGGCATGCTATCGGGCTTGGTTAGTGGGACTTCAGATCCAGCTGCTGGGTACCAGCAGGGCAAGCAGAGCGCCACTCGGTCGGTAGATGAAGCTAAAACTCGGGTGTGGGAGGAGTTTGGTGAGGCCACATGGAACAAGACTTTCAGACTCCTTGAGGCGAACCTTCCTCAGAGACTTGGGTCCATGTTGACGTGACAGCCTCACACAGCTGCTGATTTGTCAGCTGCATCCATGACATGAATCTCGTGTTCCAGCACATCCCAGAGGTGATCTGTTAGGCTAAGATCTGTTGTGGAGGCCATTAGAATACGGTCAAGTCATTGTTGTGGTTAAGAAATGAGATGATCTGAGCTTTGTGATGCTGTTGCCTTCCTGTTAGCTCAAATCACTCAGCCACAATCTCCTCTGACCCCTGAATTGTGTTTCTGTGTAAACCTTAGAGGTGGCTGTGCGGGGAAATCCCTGCAGATTTGAACCTTCTGAATGACTCAGCTCAGCCCGTCTGGCATCAACAACCACGCACGTGAACCGAAATCACCTTTCTTTATTCTGATGCTAATTTTACATTTCAGCAGATTTTCTCAACCATGTCAGACTTCCTAAATGCACTGAGTTGCTGTGATGTGATTGGTCGATCAGACAACAGGTGTAAAGCAAACTAATTAACAAAGATGAAGACAATGCCGCAGACAAAATCCTGTCAAGATTTTTTAACCTGTAATTTGCAGCACTCAGGACAATCAGATTGTGTAGGCTATAATAAGCAATAGAAGCGAACCAAAAACTAAACACTGAAACAAAACATGCTCACAAACGTATTTCATGAAGGTTAAACTTGTTGCTGGAAATACTAAAAATGAAGTGTTTATCTTTGTTATACTGGAGTCTGTGGATAACTTATAACCTGCGTCACATTTCCAAGGCTGCTTTAAAAAATATGTAACTATTAAATAACTCTAGCCTATTAATGGTAGTGTGCAGTGCTGCAGCATGAGACGCATTCTTTGTTGTTCATGGTCTGTCGGTAATACTTGATGTTCCCTTTCTTACATCAGTCCTGCTTTAAATAGCTTCACCAGCCAAACACCGTAGTCCTGGTGATTCCCCTTTGTTCTGTTGCTTGGAGACCGATCTGGAGATGGGACGTGAGAAAGGGGGAGAAACAGGAAGGGAGTGAGAAAAAGGTTAAGTTATAGATGGTTGGATCGAAGATGAGGAAGAGTGAGCATGAGAGAGAACTGCGAGTTCTTTCTGGTAACAAACAGACAAAGAAGGGCAGAGAAAGAAAGTTACAAAGTTACTGCTGATTGATTTGTTTTTGAGTCGTGGAAATGAATGTTTTTAAATGTGACATTTGAAAAGGTCGAGATGAAGAAGGAAAACAGAAGATGTGATGAGATTCATCTTTAATGATCTCAGTGATGAATTTGCATTAGTGCAGCAGCAGGAGAGTGCGAGATTCATCACGGGCGGAAAACAATCACGCAACGAGAACACAATGTGAGCGAGAGGAAACTTTCCAACAGTCGCATGCAAATGCACATCTGACATTAGCAGTTAATCGGCTGTTACACACACACCGCCAAACTTCTGAAATAGACACATGACTGTAATGGAGATTATTTAACAGTCAGCATCGTGCACCCAAAACATCTTGGGTTTGGATCCTGTGTGTGTGGACTGCATGTCCTCTCCAGGTACACCGGCTTCCTCCCACAGCCCAAAGAGGTGCAGTTAGCGGGGTCAGGTGTGAATGATTAGCCCTACAGCAGACTGGCAACCTGTCCAGGTGTACCCACCTCTCACATCAAGCTCAGATTAGCTCAAACAGGCTCCCCCTCCACCCTGAACTGGATAAAGTGGAAGAAAATGGACGGATGGATTATTTGAGAGTTAACTTACAGCCTTGATATGCAGGTTAAAAGCAGACTTTGAAATCCTGCTATGACAACATATTAAAATGTTGAAATTTAAAGAGATAAGTGTTGAAATATATTCGCATGTTTAAAGAAATGTGGAAAAATTGCATAATGCTTAAAACACACACAGGAAACAGGTAACAGTAATAACATGATTGGCTCTGTCAGTCTGTGTGTGTGTGAGAGTTTAGCAAATCATTACTCGTCTTATACCGAGCGTTGATGCATCACCTCGGGTTCATCCTGAAGTTTCAGCTCCTCGCCCTCTGAGGCCGCGCTCACTTTTAGCCAAACAGCAGGCTGCATGCAAAGACAGTCTGAGGCCTGAGCTTCTGCACACACTGACCTGATTATTTAAAGCAAGACAGCGTCTCTGTAGGCGCGTCTGCAATCCAGAAATGTCACCCACTGAAAACATTTGGCTCATTATGAGCCTGGAAACATGACAGAAAAGCAGCTATAAAAGCGTTTATCACAGAAGAGAGGAAAAATGTTCAGCGTTCAGAATCACAGTAACCAGTCTCAGTGCCTCAAGAGGAAATCCTGCCCCGTCCCAGCGAGTCTGCAATATGTTGCTGTCTTTATCCAAAAAGCAATAAAGCTGAGTTTAACTTTGATATTTTGTCTTTGTACAATCTAAAGTCAATCCAGTGAGGATTGTTGTAGAGGTAAAGCAGGGCAGCTAGTGACTTGCAGGTTGCTGGTGCAATTCCTGGCTCTCCCAGTCTGCACACCAACGTATCCTTGAAGAAGGAGAACTCCGAGTCGCACACACACCCCAAGATGTGTGTGACTGACACGTGTTGTGTAAAGAGCTTTGTGTGCTCGAGTAGCGCTAAGAAACAATTTGTTTAAATTATTGCATGACCTTATTTTAATCGACTGTCCCAACCTTTTTAATAGCAGGTTTTAAAAATTCAATATAAAGAAGATGAGGAGATACGGCTGCCATCGTTTAATTCCCTCCTCAGGTTGTAATATTTGCAGATAGCTTTCAGCTGACAGTCATTACCCGGATTCATCAAACAGGTTTTTACTTCCTGCTGCTTCTCGTCTCACACAGACACTCGAGAGATTTAGGGAGACAACTCGGAGTAATGAGTCTCTGGGGCATTTTTATCTTCTGACAATGAGGGGAAGGGAATGGACCACGATAAAGTAGATAAGAGAGGAGAGGAGACGAGGAGACAACACAAGAAGGAGATGAGAAGAGGAAACGAGAAGAGAAAATGAAATCAGACAAGAAAGCAGATGAATACAGAAAAGGAGAGGAAACAAGGACAGAGTATAGTGAAGGAGAGGATATACAGTAAGGAGAGGACAGATAAATGAGAGTGGATAGGAAAGCAAGATAGGATAGAAAAGGAAACAAGAAGAGAATAGAAAAAATAACAAAGGAGATTAGACAATGAAGGAGAAAAAAAAGCCGATAGAGAAGGAAAGGAAGCAAGGAAATGGTGAAAAAAGGAGTAAACTGACAAGGAGATAAAAGAAGGAAACAAAATGAGAAGAGGTTAATAAATGAAAGGAAACAAAGAGAAAATAGGAAAGAAGGAGATGCTAAAGGAGAAGAAGCAAGGACTGAGTGTTGAAGGAAATGAAAAAAGGAGGGCCGACCAATGACAGTCATTGGGGCAGACAGTGAAGAAGAGGAAACAATAAATGAGAAATGAAGCAAGGACATAGGATAGTAAAGGAGGCTAGAGACCTGAAAAGGCGAAGTGAAAATAGGAAGCAAAATGAGGCGAGGAAAGGAGGAGAGGAAACAGCGAATGATGATGAACCAAGGAGGGAAAAAGGAAACAATAAGAGGAGAGAGATGATCGACCCCTCAGCTAATAGTTTGTGTGTCTCTCTTTCGCAGCATCTTTCTAGCAGACACAGCGTACAGCAGAGCACCACACAGGTACGTGGACGTACTGCAGTAATGTGTCTCATTTACTTCTCATTTCAGAGGCCCAAACAGATTTATGGGACACAATTAAGATACTTCCAGCAGAAAAAACTGCTACAAAGTAGTAGTAGTAGTAGTAGTAGTAGTAAGAGTAGGAGTACATTTTACAGAGTAAAGAGCCTGAACTGGGTCACAAAGAGAATCCTTGAAAATATTTCCATATATCATTCATGTCACCAAGAAACCTTTCTCGTGCCTTTTATCATTAAGATAAATGGAGATATGAATTCAAAGCATTTAAACAGTTATGTTCTACAGTATTTACAAGCTTAGACCCACAGCTGTGCTCTGCAGCACTCTATCCTACTAATGCTGATACTTTCATCACAGAGTGTGAGTGTGACTCTTAGGCATCACGCTGAGACGGTGTGCAGATTTAAACTGCAGCAGCATCGCTTTGATGCTAAAGAACCAGAAATTTGATGCATGTTTTTGAGCAGTAATATGTGTAAAAACCTTTTTATGTACTTACACATCAAGTTAAAGTTAAATAAAAACGGTATATTTTAAGAAGATTTCATAGTTTACAGATGTTTCTGTTCAGCCAGGAGGCTTTGGTGTATATGTTTACTAAGACTGTCACACAATGTCTTTGTATTCTAATATGTGTATTTATATATTTTGTTTGTTTGGCTGCTTTTTTTGTGTGTTTTAGGGCGACAACGCCCGGCAGAGACATGGGGAACCTTGTAGAGTTCCAGTACCTCATCACCTGCTGGTCAACCTGAAGAGCTTCACCTACAACAGCATAGGCGAGGACACGGACATATTCTTCTCCCTGTACGACCTGAGAGAGGGAAAGACCCTCAGGTAGGTGGCAGCTGAACAGTCGAGCACAGAGGTGCAGATTTCCAAAAAGTGTGGGTGACACTCTTTACTCGTTTGATGTTTCGCAGCACCGGCTCCGTGATGATTAGTCTTTTCATATTTGTGCTGTAAAGCTTGTTGCTGTTCGGTCAAGTCAAACTGCATAGAAACATTTTCCACAACAGTTTGTTTTTCACTATAATAATTATTATTTTTTAATTTAACATTAATAGTCTCTCACAATAAATAAATATCCTACCAATCAGCATTCATTGCCATTTTATTCTTTTATAACTTCAATATTGATTTGTGGACAACAGCCAGAATTTTCAGTCCCATGTTTGGTTTCTTGACATTGTGACACGACGCCATCACAGGAGAAACACCCTGATTATCAGCAGCAGGTAAAGCTGAATGTCAGCAGCACAGCAGGAGATGCAATTATCCTTCAAATGAGCAAAGAGGAAACAGATGCAAGGAGACGCTTACAGAGACAAAAAGTCTGTAACTACGCTAAGCTAGGATGCTAACCTGAAGGAGACGACCTCAGCTCTATGTGACCCTGAAAAAGTGACCCTGTGTCCCAATAATGACATTCATATGTTACTGAATTGCTTTCTGTGGAGCCCCTCTGGTGACATGAGTGGGGAAAATTGTTAAGTTAATGATGCTTTGAAGTGAGACAGTAATAAATAAGTTATAGGACTGTAATAAATACACTGTGGCCATGTTTTGGTTAGAAATCAGTGTGTTGATCACACCGAGTGAGCACGGAGGCTGTTATCACCCAACAAGTAAGAGGAAATGATATTTAAACTTTATTGAAATTTTAATATGAATTCCTGTGATTTTCTTCATTGATGTTGTCAGGTGGGGCTTTAATGTTTTAGCCTGGCCCAAATTCTTCAACGTCATCTCAAGTCAACCGTTAGCTGAAACTTGGACACAGCTGAGTTTTCCAGCAGGACGATGATCCCACTCTCTGTTTAGGGAGAGATAACCTGGCTAATATTAACCTTAACCAAACATTGCTGTAGGTGTATGTATATATTAGACTTATATACTTTTGATCCAGTGTGGATCAGAGAAAATCCAAATTAAACTTGTTCAACCAATAGTTGCTTTTTAAAGCCGTAAATAGAAAATGTCATGAGAATATTCATTTATTTTTCCGAGTATTCGCTGTTTTTTTGTTCTGGGCCTACTCAGTGCTATAAAAAGTTCTGAATACAGGCTGACATATGAAAAAGTTTCACTGCGTATTTTGGGAATTTGATCTTTTGAATCTGTTGATGAGTGAATCACTGATGATTGCATGTGTGAGTCACAGTGATCCGGGTTAGAAACCTTTAAATAAACCAAACGCTAACACACATTCAGTAATACAGCTTCCTTTAGAGGGAAAACCAGCACACCGCAGACCACGGCCTCTCTGTGTGAGGATCTAAACGTATTCTACGCTAGATTCGACGCAGCAAACACCATGAGACCGGACAGTGTGCGCACCGCGGATGACGTCAGTGCGCACACTGTGTCTGAGGAGGATGTGCGGAAGTGCTTCAGGAAGGTGAACGCACGCAAAGCTACTGGTCCGGACGGGATTCCCGGCCGCGTCCTCAGGTCATGCGTGGCTCAGCTGGCTGGAGTGTTCACGCACATCTTCAACCTTTCCCTCTCTCTGTCTGTAGTCCCAGCCTGCTTCAAAATGGCCACCATCGTCCCTGTACCCAAATCCTCCACCATCTCCTCATTGAACAACTGGCGACCTGTAGCCCTGACCCCCATCGTAAGCAAATGCTTCGAGAAGCTGGTCAGGGACTTCATCTGCTCTGCACTACCCGACTCACTGGACCCTCTACAGTTTGCATACCGCCACAACAGGTCCACTGATGATGCCATAGCCCTGACACTACACACTGCCCTGTCACACCTGGAGAAGAGAGACACGTATGTGAGAATGCTGTTTGTAGATTACAGCTCAGCATTCAATACCATCGTTCCCTCGAAGCTGGACAGGAAACTGCAGGATCTAGGACTGAGCAGCTCCCTCTGCAGCTGGATCCTTAGCTTCCTGTCTGACAGACGCCAGGTGGTCAGACTGGGCAGCATCACCTCATCCCCCATCACACTGAACACTGGTGCTCCACAGGGGTGTGTACTGAGCCCTCTCCTGTACTCACTCTACACCTACGACTGCACAGCCACTAACAACTCCAACATCATTGTGAAGTTTGCAGACGACACTACAGTGGTGGGTCTTATCACCAACGGTGATGAGACGGCTTACAGGGAGGAGGTCAGCGCCCTGACCCACTGGTGTCAAGACAACCATCTCACCCTCAACGTCGCAAAGACAAAGGAGTTGATAGTGGACTTCCGGAGGTGCAGAGAAGTACACACCCCCATCACCATCAACGGCGCTGCTGTGGAGAGAGTGAGCAGCTTCCGGTTCCTTGGTGTACATCTGGCTGAGGATCTTACGTGGTCAGTACACACAAACAAAACAGTGAAGAAGGCGCAGCAGCGCCTCTTCTTTCTCAGGAGACTGAAAAGATTCGGCATGAGCCCCCGCATCCTCAGGACCTTCTATCACTGTGCCATTGAGAGCATCCTCACTGGATGCATCACCACCTGGTATGGCAACAGCACCGCCTACAACTGCAAAGCTCTCCAGCGAGTAGTGCGGTGCTCTGAACGGATAATTGGAGGTGAGCTTCCCTCCCTCCAAGACATCTACAGGAAGCGGTGCCTGAGGAAAGCGGGGAGGATCATCAAGGACTCCAGTCACCCCAGCCATAAACTGTTCAGACTACTTCCATCAGGAAGGAGGTTCTGCAGCATCCGGTCCCGAACCAGCAGACTGAGAGACAGCTTCTTCCACCAGGCCATCAGACTGCTGAACACGTCATAGACACCTCAGCTTCACTACTGGAACTTTAACATTATGCACTCCACACTGTATATAAATGCCACTGTTTTGCACATATTCAACTCTGTATATTTTATATATTTTATTATTATTATTATTATTATTATTATTTATCTTTTTTTACTATTTAATTTGTAAAAATGTGTATACACACACACACACACACACACACACACGTAGGAAAATATTTAGTATACACATCCAGAAATGCATACACTATTATATATTGTACATATATTTATTAGTTTCAGGTTGGCCATTCTTGTATTTTGCTCGTTTGTGTTGTTGTGTTTGCACATCTCTGTTGCTTGTGGGGCTCGCACACAAGAATTTCACTCGCATGTGCTGTGCCAGTGTGCCTGCACATGTGATGTGACAATAAAAGTGATTTGATTTGATTTGATTTCATTTTGTTTGAAAACACATAACTAAATAATAAATAACAATTTGATGATGTTGACATTTAGTTTCTGTTGTGTATCTGAGGCCAGAGGAAGTTTTTAATCGGCTTTAATGGAAGAGTATGTGAACGGTCTGCCAGGATCATGAGGCTGAAGCTGGGAATCGCAGGACTGATGTTGAATGTTAATAATGACCCACAAGCTGGGTGTGAGTCAGAACAGTGAGAAGAGTTCTGGATTAAGTTGGATGAAGAGGGAGGAAGATAGGGCGGAGGAAGGTGCACACAGGTGGAAGGTATCTTAGGTAGAAGAAACAATCTAAGAGACTGCAAGGTGGTGTCGGGGAGAAGGCGGGTGTTCGGCATTGGATGGTAGACTGTAGGATGACTTTAGACACCAAGGAGAGGAAGCGAGGAGCCGAGGATTAATGTGGTGGAAGCTGAAGACAGAAGGATGCTGTGAAGAGTTCAGGAAGGACTTGAGACAGACTCTGGGTGGGAGGGAAGAGTTACCAGGTGAAGATCAGCGAGCAGCAGTTTGGCTTCGTGCTGAGACGACAGATGTTTGTTTCGAGTGTTTTACGGCGTCTTTGTGGATCTAGAGAGTTACGGGGCATTATGGGGTGCCTAACTCAGCAGTGAGTTAATTAACCGAACCCCACGCTTGGCTTTGGACTGTTGGAGGTGGGAGTAGCCAAACACACCGTGACAGGCAGAGCAAAGTCCACAGACAAAGTCTTCAGGCTGGATTCAAACCCAGGACCTTTACAGCACCACGCCACAGTGTGCTGCTGTAAATATTACATGACCCCCCCCCACACCACCGCCTGACGAATACCCATCAATTATGCATTTGTGCAGAGATCTCAGTGCCAACATGAAGAAGCAGTAATGTCAATAAGGAGGCTGATAAAGGCCACGTTTATGAGTGTTTGGGGGAAATAAATGTAGAGCTGAGTCTGTGAGGATGTTGATGTTTAGCAGACAGGACGTTTTTGGCTCTGTGTGATGTCTGAGCGAGGCGAACGTGTTCCCTCCAGGGAAAGAAAGAAGCTCGGTGAGCAGCCCCTTTTCCCCATTCTGGTTCTCTCTGTATCATCATTACAAACTAGCTAATAGGCTCCGTCCTCCCATCACACCAACAGTCCAGAAATAAGTTGACCTTGGCAGCTTGTTTTCACAGCCAAGTCTGACTCAGCGTTAGAGTCTAATGACCAGAGCTGCTCCTCTGAGATGCTCAGATGACAGAGGAGAGGAGACCTTCAGCAAACTTTATTGGTTTCATTTTTCATCTACAAACATAACCAAAGAGACAGTTTAACATATGTACAGTCACAGCTCCCCGATCCTACACACAGGAACTAAATAAACGCCTCAGTGCCTGACTTTCAAAACATTCAAATCTGTTTACCTCCAGCTCATCTCTCTACTCAGTACTTACTTTTAAAAGTTTTGCTTTAACCGTCCACCATTTTTTCCCAGAAATTTCTTCAACCTTAGATTTGCAATGAATCCTGGGCCACGAGGGATACACCCGACCCGTCCTTCAAATCCAGGGAACAGGAGCACGCATTTGTAGACTGCATTTGGAGGAATTTGGACAGCCTTCATCGCTTAGCTGTGATGTAATCAGCCTTGAATTTGGACGTAGCCGTGTTCTGCCACTGTCGCACG